GGTCACTGTCCAGACTCAGGTCCTTCCCCCCCAAGCATCACTCTTAGCCCCAGTTTAGTGGGTAGCCTCAAAGGAGACTGTGCCCTTCCCGTCCCGCACACACATCAAGTCTGGGGTCTATTTCCCCTTATCTGGCACATGGGTTAGCCAAGGGAACAACCAAAATAAGCTATGCCTTTAAAAATGGATTAATTTTCCACTTGCCCCTGAACACTTTCATGCTTCTTCAAAGAAGCCCAAGTCAATCTGGTGGAAAAACACACACCCGCTCTGAGAAAGAGTCGCCTGGCTGAGACAAGGCCGCCCGCAGGACCACGCGGTGATAAACTCCAAGTGCTGAAGTTCCTGGCTTGTGAGTTTGCTCCCCAGCCCTGGGTAACTTACACCCATGGCAAAGGACTGCAGATATGGAAGTGAGCCAGCCCACATCAGCGAATTTCCAGCAAGCCGAAATACAATCCTTATTTGTCCAAATGTTTTCATCCACTCCGACTTTTTAGAAATGTTGTCATGTATTTATTTATTTTGGTTAATGGATCCCACCCGCAGAGCTCAGCACCCGGCTCGGAGCTCAGGATTTGCTTCTTAGGAGCATGCGGTGTCGGGGATCAAACTCGGGCCACCCACATACACAGAGCCTGCAGCACACGCCACACTTGACACGCCATCTGCTCCTGCTGAGCGGGTCCTCAGTTACGGACGGCCACGCCTCGACAGGAAAGGTGTGTGAAGGCTGCTGGTCTAACACACGAGAAGGAAAGGACCCCACTGGCCAGAGGACACTCTTGCTCTGCCACCGACTAGCTGCGTGGCCCTATGCAAATCGCTTCCACACGTCCGGGGTCACCATCTGTGAAATAAAAATGGCATCTGCCGGGCTGGAGCGATGGGACAGCAGGTAGCACACTTGCCTTGCAGGTGGCCCCCCCGGGTTCGATCCCAGCATCCCATATGGTCCCCCCAAGTGCCACCAGGAGTTAGTCCTGAGTGTAGAGCCAGGAGTGTCCCCTGAGCGTCACCAGGCGTGGTTCCCCAACCCCCCTCCCCCACACACACAAATGGTATCTGCCTCTCACTCAGCAGAACCATCCCCGGCTCGGCTGATGGAGGGGCCACATTCCACATTTCTCTACAAGCTGCAGCGTTTGGACACACACGTGTCAGTGGGTCAGGAGGGCACCCCAGGGCCGGTCTTCAAGCCTGTGTATGCCGGTGCAGGTGGGGTTCTGGATGTTCCCCAGGGCTGGGCCTTCACAGGGTTAGCTGCAGTTACACGGCCCCTGGAAGCCTCGCTAAGCCTCGCTCAGCCTGCAGGGAACCCCCTGGAGCCCCTCAGCAGACCACTCCCAGGTGGTGTGTGATGTGGGTGTGTACAGGTACATCGGGGAAACACAACACAGCAGCAGGCGACTGGGTCGGGCCCTGTGGCTCCCGAACCCACTGTTGGCCCAGCCACCAAAGCGGCCCTCTGGCAAGAGAAGGAGCCGCTGCAGAACTATGACCTCTGCAGCCGAGTGTCCTTGGAAGAATGTGGGTGAAAGGGGGAGACGCTCTGTTGGCGCAGAGACGAGCACCACAAGCGGGGAGGGGATGGGGCGACTTGCTGCCGCGCTCAGTGAGTGACTCCTCAGAGAGCTCTGACCCGTCCTGTGTGGTCTGCCCAGCGCCTCCCACAGGCCGCCCCAGGTGGGATCTGTCCCCTGCCGGCCTCACACACACACACACACACACACACACACACACACACACACACCACACACCACACACCACACACAGTATACTTACAACACACACAACATACACACAACACCACACACATACACACTATAGACACATACATACCACACACTACACACACACCACACACCTTACACACACCACACACAACACACATACAACACACAACACACACTAAACACACAACACCACACACATACACACCATAGACACATACAACACACACTCCATACACACAAAACTCACCACACCCAACATACACACAACACACACTATACACACAACACCACACACAAACACACCATAGACACACAACACACACTCCATACACAAAAAACACCCACAACACACACCATACACACAACACACCACACATACAATATATACACACCATACACAACACACACACACCATACACACACACACACACACACACACTCTGCTGCCGCTGTCTGCTGCACCCACCGTCTCAGCCAACACGTCCTGCCATGTTGCTAGGACGGCCACCTGCGCGACCGGGTTCCCCCCAGGAACTCCCGTCCAGAGTTCGGGTCCCGGAGAGAAACAGACGATCGTTCAGGTTCTCCTGTGTTCTCTGACAGCGCTCAGCACAGCTGGGGGCGGGGGTAAGGGAAGGAGGCCCGAGGCCCGGGTTCAAGGAAGAGGGGTCTTCAGAGACAGCTCCCGGCCGCATCCCGCTTCTCACTCCCAGGCCCTCCCCAAGACGCGACCCTCCTCTCCTCTCGCCTGCCCTGCGCCTCGCGCTCTCCGTCACCCGTCTACAAGGCCAGGACCCCCAGCTCGGCTGCACACGGGGCGTGCGGGAGCGGGAGGCTCTCCCGCGGTGAGAAACGCTCCTGCACAAGCACCGGGCTGGGCGCGAGGCTGAGCACAGTCGGACGGTGAACGGGGCCTGGCAGACTCCCGGCCGCTTCTCTGCTACCAGAAGGGCTGTAAGGGGCCTCGCCCCAAATCTGCCACGAGCGCCGGAGCACAGGGTCACCCCCCACCATCCCGGCCGTGGGCTCTGCGCCCCCCTCCCTCTGCTGCCACCCGGGAGAGCAGTTGGCTCCTGCCCTCGCCCCCTCCTGCTCTGGCACCTCACCCCAGCGCCAGAACCCAGCCAACATGGGCGACAGGGGCGGCGCGTTTTAGGAGTGCAACACCGGCGCCTCTGCGCCCTGCCTGCCCCCCCATGGCGGCAGGGCCTGTCAGGCCATTCCTTCCTCTGTGATGGGAAAAAGCCCAGAGCTCTCCCCTAGACCCTCCACCCCCACCCTGCCTGCTGGGGTCATCCCACAGGCCCCCCCAAGCCCACAGGCTGCCTTTCCTGCCTTCATTCCCCCTGGGTCTGGGTGAGGGTTAGGGGCACAGGGCGCAGAGGAGGGCGGCCCGAGGCGCATCTCCAGCGGGGTCAGAGCAGCTACAAAACTCCTCGCAGCCCCCCCACCCCCCAAGTCCTGCACGCATCTCCGGAGCTGCCCAGGAGGAAGCCCTGCTGACGGGGAAAGGCAGGGAAGGAGTAGCAGAAAGCGAAAAGGGGGTGCAGAGGGCCCGGCACCCTCCCCACACGCCCCCCCACTCCATCCCAGGGGCCAGGCCAGCGGGAGGTGACGGCTGGCACCCCACTCTGCCTCCTCCCTACCCCGTGTCCCCCACCCTGCACCCCCAACTGTGCCCACCCCACTCTGCATCCCCCACTCAGAGAGACCCGGGTGGGTGGGGGCTGCTGAAACTCCAGGAGTTTGGGGGGTGGGCCTGGGAACCAAGGCACCTTTGAAAAAGTCACAGTAGTCCCAAGCAAGTGACTCAGAAACTTCTGGAACACGGCCGACTGAAAGCTGGGGCCTCCTGCACTCTCCCAGGCTCCCAAACGGACTGCGGCCCTCCCCCTCACTCCCACAGGCACCTCCAGGCCCAGCTTCCAGGCCACGGAAGGCTCTCGGGATGGAATATTTTTATTTTTAATTTACTTCTTTTTCTTTTTTTTTTCTGCTTCCCAAGTTTGGGGGACTTAGCAAGTCTGGGTTAGCCTCTGGACTCTGGGTCGGAGTGGGGGAACATTTCTGTTTTACTCCCTAAACGGGCAGCAATGAATATGGTGAAATTCAAGAGGCCCCTGGGGTCCTGGCAGAGGGTCGAGCCGAGGGTGGGCTCAGGAGAAGATGGAGGTGCAGGCAGGGCTGGAGCTGCCCCCCAGGACCCATCCACCCAGGTGGGCTTCACTGAGTCTCTCCTCAGCGTTTCCCAACCTGGACCAGGAGCAAAGTAGAGTGGAGGGGGGCGGGGTGTGGGAAGAGGGAAGGGGGGCTTCCAGGGCGGGGCCTGGGGAGCAAGAGTTGCCCACCACCGCCAGCATTTAGAGAGGAGGATGGCTCAGCCTGGAAGATGCTCAGACAGGAACCAGCCGTGCTTTCTCCCCCCCAAGGGGTGGGGGATGTGTCAGGCCAGCCGCAGGGCTCTTGCATCAACCCCCAAGGGCACCGGGAGTCCCCCGAGAGTCAATCGGTCCCTCCCAGGAGGGCGTCAGGGTATGGGCGGGGACAGAGGCGGTGCTGGGGAGGAGCTGGAGGAGGAAGGGACTGGGAGGAGGACTCGGCTACCATGAGGGGCACCTGCGCTGGTTCCAAAGCAGGAGCGGCAGCCGGGAGGCCAACGGTGACTCTAAGGCTCTGCACCCCCCTGCGGTCCCCCAACAGGTTCCCCGGAAATGGGCTTGTAAGTCCCAGAATATGTGCCGGGCTCCTCAGCTCCCGGTAGGGGTCTCAGCACAGGAGAGAGCGAGGTCCACCCTTCGGTGCAAACACGCCCAGCACCCTGACCCTCATCACGCCCCACAGCATCACCTGACTGTCCCCCACCCCGCCCCCCCCACCCCTGCCAGGCACTATGCCAGCCACCCCACCCCTCTCTCCAGCCCAGCACAATCGCAGGGCGCAGCTTGCAAGGCCAGTCATGGGGGGACTGACAAAGAAGAGAGATGGGAGCCCTCTCCTTCTGCCCCCCACCAAGAGGTGATCCCCCAGACGGTCACTGCAGGGAACGGCCGGGACAAAGCCACCTCAAGACCAGGCCTGGAGGGGTCTTCCTGCCAGCCCTTCGGTAGGCCCAGAGGACACAGCCTGGCCTCCCACTGGCCTCCGGTCCCCAGGGCCCAGCACAGATGACGAGCGCAGAGCCTGGGACAGAGGGAAAAGCGCCTCTCCCCGCCCCCAGAGCTGAGAAGGGGTGCCCTGGGTCGGGGGGCTGCAGGCCGGACTCACCTCCCTCAGCAAGAGGGTCCCATTGAGCCTGTCCTGCTGCTGCTGGGCCACGGTGACCGCCAAGACGACTGTGTGCAGCACGCAGGACAGCACGGAGATGATGACGATGGGGCTGAGGCTGAGCGGCAGCGTGATGAAGTAGGAGAAGACGAAGAAGGCCTGCCAGCCCACCGTGTCGCTGAGCGCGTGCGCGCGGGCGAAGTTCAGGCCCAGATAGGAGAAGATCTCGGCCGTGATCAGCAGCCACAGCAGGTACGGCACCACCTTGCGGCTCACGCGGTCGGGGAGCAGCCCTTTCTTGCACAACACGAAGAGGATGATGTCCAGCACCAGCCCCACGGCGGCCACCAGCAGCGGCGCCAGCTTGTCGCCGGCGAAGACCACGGCGCACATGACCACCACGTAGCAGTCGAAAAGGGCGGCGAAGACCACCAGCACCAGCAGCGTCTCGTGGCGCTGCCGCTTGAAGTAGGTCTGGTAGAGGCTCTCCAGGGACTCGGGCACGAAGGTCAGCCGCATGAAGCGGGGCAGGCACAGGCACGACCCCGAGTTGCGCACGGAGATCTCATGGGTCCGGCCCGCCCCGCGGTCGGGGTCAGAGGGCAGGCTCACCGAGTACTCGGCAGAGTACTCCGCCGAGTACTCGGGGTCGGAGAAGCCCTGGTTCCGCGGCATCCTGGCGGGCGTCTGCTTCTACCTACCGGCCACTGACCACAGGCAGGAAGGGGTCACTTATCGGGGACCAGGGACACCCAGGGACAGCCGAGGGGCGGCCACCGCTCGCAGGCGTGCGGAAAGGATTTCCAGGTCACCGGGAGCACAGAGCATCTGCAACCAAACGGGTCAGTCAGTGGAGGCGGCTCTTTCTCCGCCCTGCACCCCCCACGGTCCACACTCACCCAAGGGCCACTGAGCAGGTGGAAGCAGGCACACACACGTGCACACACACATGCACCATCCTACATCCTACAGGTACATGGACATCCACACACGCACAGGCACACCCCCCGTCCTATATGTATATGGACACCTCACACAGGTGTGCATACACATGCACACGCACCATCCTACATGGACACGGATACCACACACTTGCACGCACACACATGTACCATCCAATGCAGACATGGATGCCCATATATGCATACACACACATTCACCACCCACACACACTCATGTACATACCATTCCATACAGACATGAACACGCATGCATATATACACACACCATCCTATCACACACAGACACCCACACACACATATGTACACGCACCATCCTATATGTACATGGACACCCACACACATCTACACACATACAAATATTCACACCATTCTATAGTACATGGACACACACACATATACATGTACTATCCTATACGTACACACATACACACACACACAAGCATCATCCTATAGATACACGGACACACACACACATATATACACGCATCATCCTATACAGACATGGACACCCAGACATAAATACACCATCCTATAAGGACAGGGACTCCCACACACATATTTTCACACACCACCCTATCTGAACAGGTACACACACACACACACACATATACCTGCACATCTCATATGTACATGGGCACACACACCTACACGCCTATCAACATGCATATACGCACCGTCCTGTAGGCACATGCCACACATACATACACACCGTTCTATTCACACACACACACACAGAGTCATGTGCACCGGGCATACAAACGTGCGCACCGAGTCCTATACACACACCCAGGCGCATACACAGCTTCACGCCGTCTCCGCGCGCTGTCACGCACGACACAGTCACGGGCGCACACAGCAGCCCTGCCCGCCCACACTCCCGCCGTCCCACCGACACCCCGCGTCCTCAGTCCGGCGGGCCGGCGGGGGCTCGCCGCCTCTGCGGCCCCGGGCCCCGGGCCCCGCGCCCGGCCGGGCCGCGTCCCGCCGTCCCCGCCGTCCCCGCCGGCCGCGCTTACCTGGCGCGCGGGGCTGCTCCGCGCCGGGCCCGGAGCGCGGCCGCCCCGCGTCAGGCCCGCGAGCGCGGCGGGCTGGGGTCGCGGCCGGGGCCGGCTCGGGGGGCAGCGCGCGCGAGGCCGGGGGCGCCCGCCAGCATCCTCCGGGCCGCGCGGCACACTGAGGCCCGCGGCGGCGGCGGCGGGCGGCGCCCCGGCTCCCTCCCGCCCGCCCTCCCGCAGTCGCCGCCCCTCGGCGGGCGCGTCCCGGTCGGGGGCGGGGGCCCGAGTCACCGCCCTCCCGCCGCCGGCCCCGCGCGCTCGGGACCGGACTGGGGACGCGTGTCCCCGCCGCGGCAGCCGCCGCACGTGCTCGGCGCCGACGACCCCGCACACGCGGCTCCGGGGAGTCCGAGGCCCAGACTCGCGGAGCGCGCAGCCCAGCCGGGGACTTGCGTCAAGGCCGAGGGAAAGGGGGTCGCGCGAACAAAGGCCCGGGGAGGGGCCGGGGCGCTGGAGAGGCCAGACGCCGGGACGGGGTGGGGTAACCTGAGAATAAGTGGGTGGGTAGCGCAGAATGGCCCTCCTGGCCTCAGACCGGGCCACTCACAGGCCAGCGTCCACCCCTAGCAGTCAGGACTGGGGTGGAGGGGGGTGGTCCCTGCTTAGGAGGAGGGAGACCTGAAAGCAGCCCTTTCCCCTTTCTGCTTTGTTTGGGGGTCCCAGCCGTGCCTGTGATTTGTAACACAGGAGGTGGGGGGAATGGGGGGAGATTTTGATGGTTCTCAAAGGGACAGTTTTGTTTTTTGTTTTTTGCTTTTTGGGTCATACCAAGCGATGCTCAAGGGTTATTCTTGGCTCTGCACTCAGGAATTACCCCTGGTGGCGCTCGGGGGGGGGGGGGGGGGGGGGGGGGACCACATGGGATGCCAGGGATAGAATCCAGGCCGGCTGTGTGCAAGACAAACGCCCTACCCACTGTGCTATCGCTCCGGCCCTCAAAGGGACAGTTTTGACAGAAGGACCAAAGTGAGGGTCTGGGAGACACTTCGCAGGGATGGCTGATGCCTAGCATGGACATAGCCCCGAGCACCGCTGGGTGGCCCTGGGGAACCCCAGCACCCCTGGGCCTGATGGTTTTGGAAAAACAAAGCAGGCTAGTATTGTTTGGGGGGGGCAACAGACCCTCCACCATGCCCCTAAGGCCCTCCCCTCTCCAGAGCCTGCCAAGCACTGGGTTCTCCTGTAAGGCCTGTGGGCTCCTGTGAGCCCCCAGGCCCTGCCAACCTCTCCTCCTGGCCCATCCACACAGAGCCTCCAGAACCTCCTCCCATCGCAGCCGCCTGTGCCGTGGGCACCTGTGGGGAGGTTGGGAGGGGCAGAAAGCAATCACGGGGAGCCCCAGAGAGAGCCTTTAGGGTCTGGAGGGGAGCCGCTGGCTGCAGGGAAGGGCTTCACCGTCCCTGTCCCCCCACCCCCACCCCAGGAACCATGGAGGCCCAGCCTTGGTGCTGTCTTGCTGCAGGCTGGCCCCTGGGGAGCCAGTGAGACTGGCCCTGGCTGGGCCTCCCTGGAAATCTCCGCAGCTGAGTGAGTATTGCAGAACTAGGAGAGCTGGTCAAGGTCCCTTCCCCAGAGATCCCGGACGCCCAGCCAGTGGGCATGCAGCAAGGCCACGGAACCTCCCCCATCTCACTGGGACGGCTTTGCCCGTACCATGGGCCTGATAGGCTCTTGGAACCATCCAGAACAAGTGAGGAGACTTCCAGAGAGAGTTCAGTGCTTTGCATGCAAGAGGCCCAGGTGTGATCCCCGGCACCAGGCAGAGAGCCAGGAGTCGCTGTCCCACCTACCTTCTGCCCCAGCACTGCCAGCTCGAGGCCAACCAGAGGACTGACAAGACAGGCCTCACTCACTCGGTGGAAAGTGTCCTGGCCCAGGGGAAACGAAACAGAAGCAACCCAGAGTGACAGACTGGGTGGCGGGACTCCAAGTTCCCTGCTTCCCGCAAAGGGTGGTCATCATGACTGACCAGTGTCACATTTCAAAGACCCTGCCGGGCTCCTTAGCACATGAGATGCCACGTAGCCATGGGTGGGGACTTGCCTCAGTGGAGTGAAGACAGAGTACAGGGGCTCAGGTAGGAGCCTGGAGGGCCCGGGACCCCCACCTTGCCTCCTGCCCCTTGGTAAGGGGCCTCTTTGCTGAAGAAGGCGCCTTTTCTTCCCTGAGCAGGGGTGGCTGAGAATTAATTGTTGTTGGATAAACAAGAGTGGCTGGCCGGCCCCTGGGACACGGGAGGCTCCTGAACCCAGCAAACAATAGAGCAGAGCGAGCCCTGAGGTCTGGGGGAGAGAGAAGTGGGTGGAGAGAAGTTCAGGGGCTCCCCGGAGGCTGGTGCCGAGGGAGCCTGTTTGGGGCCTCAGCTGACGGCAGAGCCTGGGCCGGGCCTGTGGTGGCCGTTTACCGAGGTAGCGGGGTTGCAGGGAAAGGAGGGTGGGCTGGCTGGTCGGGGTGCGCCCCTGCCCCTGGGGGGGCTCTGAGGAGCCACAGGGTACCTGGTGAGCGTGGCCCTTGGGTGTCGCCCCCTGCCCCCCGCTGTGTGTAAGGCACAGGGTGGCTTCCATACGGGCCTGCAGTCACCTGGGAGCAGACGGCTGGACTCCTGTTCGTCATCTGGAGGGATGCGTGGTCCTCCAGGTGATCAGGGAGTGGGACCTGGCACTGGTCTCCATGCACTGGGATTCCTCAGCCTACCCAGGTTTGGGGCCATAAGTACACTTCACCCCTCCTGGGGTCTGGGGGTAGGAGTTAAGGTGACAGAGAACCCAATGGCTGCAGGTGTCCCCCGGACACTCCAAACTTGGGTGCCAGCATGCATGCAGCCAGGCAGACAGATGTCGCCACCTGTGGCCTGCGGAGACATCCGGACTGGGCCCTTCCCTGTCTTGTTGCACACCAGCCCCTCCCCACCCTCCTCCCCTCTCTCTGCGTGATTCTGCCCCAGTGTGGAGGGGCTGCCCTCCCGACTTGGCTCTGGGCCAATCGGCAGACCCAGATGGGGGTATATATGGGAGGGGAGGGTGCATGTGTGAGTAGGTGTGTATGTGTGAATAGGTGTGTGGGAGTAGGTGCATGTGAGGTCTGTGTGCATAGGTGTGCATGTGAGAGGTGTGCCTGTGTGGAGGACACGTGTGAGTGGGTGCATGTGAGTAGGACTGAAAGTAGGTCTGCGTGTGAGGTGTGTGAGTCGGTGTGTACGTGTGAGTAGTGTGGGCCTCTCTGTGCTTTGCAGGCTCTGGAAACAGATGGCCCGGCTGCCCCCAGGACAAAGGCGTGAGTGAGCAAGGGGGCTCTGGTGGCCTCATCTCCCTCTGCCTTCCCAAGGGCGCTCTGCGGGCTCCGCCCCACAGTGATCGCCGGACTGTGTGCGACAGGGAGAGTGAACACGAGTGAGTGTGAGTCGGAGTGAGTTTGTGAGTGTGCAGGTGAGTAGGACTAAGCGGGTGCGAGTGTGACTGAGTGAGTGACTGTGTGAGAGTGAACGGGTGCGAGAATGTGGCTGTGACTGCGTCAGCGTATGGCTGTGCGTGTGTTCGTATGTATGAGTGTGCATGTGTACATATGCGTGAGTAGACGAGTGTGTGTGGATGTGTGAGTGTGGGTGATGTGTGTGGATGTGTGAGTGTGGCTGCGTGTGATTGTGTGCAAGAGCGTGTGGGAGTGCAGGTGAGTGTGTGAGTTCCCTGTGTGAGGGCCAGCACGCCAGTGTGAACGACTGAACATTACCCCAGTGGGAGTATTTGGGGGTGCTCCTCCTGTGGGCTGAGGGAAGGGGTGCCCCAGGCAGAGACTTGTG